GTAATTTTGTCTACACGGAGAGGCGCTTGGTTTCTTCTGTGCAAAAGACTGTCCTCATTAGCATTAGCTAGAGATCTTTTATTAAATACACATAAAAAAAAAAAAAGAAAACGAAAACGAATATTCGGCAACATTTTCGTTTCAATTTCGCGCTTCAACGCGATTTGCTGTCGAAAATGGATCGATTTCGCATACAAGTCGAGTGAGTCCCGCGTATGAAAGTACAAAGTACTCCCCGAATATGAGCCTCTAAAATACGCGCCGTCGCATAACGCGCATAAATGAGTTATAAATCGAAAGTTTCTTTTATTTTTTTCTTTTTTTTTTATTTATTTATTCATTCTCTGCGGAGAGCAATAACGATGTTCGTGTCCTGCGCGAATAATTTATTTATTTATTTTCTCCCGACGTGTTTTATTCGTATGTAATACGTACGCAAGTGTTTCTTTTTTTCTGGTGTCTCTTCGACATGATGGACGATTCATTTCGACGACGTAGATATCCGATTTGTCGCACATTGTGTAATCGCGCGCTGATATTATTATTACTTTAAGTTCGCCTATATATATTTTTTTTTCGTCATCAACGAAATTTGTCGATTGAAATTTGTACAATATTTCTGTTCTCTTGTATTTTCGATATAAAGCAGGATATCAATTATTAATATCAACAAATTGTTCGATAATGCACGCTACACTTTATTCGTTTAACAATTGTCTATAGTGATACGTTCTTAATTTAATCGCGTTAATATGGATGAGAAGGTGATGGAAGGAAACATGATGACTGATTGTTGACGTACGCAATTGGTGTTCAGCATCGAAATACAATTGTTTCTTAGAAAAAAATAGACTTTGTTATCTATTATTATTATTATTATTATTATTATTATTATATTAATTGGATCGTTTATGTATTTTATTTATGATCATGTTGTACCAGGGTTTTTAATACTCTATTCCGATCTTTCTTTTTGTATTATGCCATCTCTCGTTTAGAAAGAGGATTGACGAAAAAAATTAGAAATATAGCGTTGAAGAACGCGTTACGAAAGAATAGGTACATAAGATCCATCATAGTTGAAATTATGGTAGATGATTTTTACGTTAGATCGATAAGAATAGCAATAATCAAGTAAACGTCGTTTGATTTACTTTTACTCGTTTAGTATTTAATCAAAACAAAAAAAAAAAAAAAGGAGGAAAAAGAAAAGAAAATGAAAAAAACGACACCTTCTGTTGTAGTAGAATAAATCTCGCATGTTATTCCGCAATAGGAGCTTAAGTTTTGTTGCAAATATATACAAGTACATCGTGACTCCGGCACGTAGATACGATCTTTTGTGACCTCATCTCGATAGAATCCGCTCTTTATAAATTAGAAACGAAATATATGTATATCCGTCGCTATACTAGCATCTCTATACAAAATTATATTCAAACGGACTTTGCGGAATTTTGCCTCAGATAGATTCATTTCATTCACCAGAAGCTTTACTGGGACCAATAAAACTATTTTGTAAGTTTGCGTATTTCTTTCTTCTTTGCTGACGGCGATCTTAATTTTAAGAACTCTATATATTTATGGTATATATTATAAATTAATTACTCGACTCAGCCTATAGAGTACAAAATACGTGACTTGATCTCAGATTTAAATTAATTACCTTTCTCTGCCTTTCTGAACGAGCGTGGCGTTAATTTTTTTTTTTTTTTTTTTTAACGATTGTCGTTGAGAGTATATGTTTAAGGAAATCATTAACCGTTAACAAAGGACAGGTTTTACATGAAAATTAAAGCAGCTAAATTTCTCATAAATTAATCGCGTTAATTTTCTTATTGAATACGCACGCGACAGTGACATCTGAACATGTTCATCATCACTTGTGATTAGCATGGTGATTCATTATCTTTGAAATAAATCGTGTCCATTAAATGTTGCTTTATGCGGAAAGCATTTATTTTACCTGAACTATGACAGAAGAATTTTGTACGAATAAAAGATATAAAACGGAAGGCTTCGAAAGCATGCCATAATAATTATAAAAGTCATAATAATATAAAGTTTCGAAGTTTTATTTTTGTTTTTTTGTCTAGAATTTTTCTGCTTTTGTAACTCGGAGATAATTCTAAATGACTGACGAGGAGCGTGCGCCTTTCTTTGTTCTCTCGAGAACGAATCCTTCGCTATTATTTAATATAATCCTATTCGTAAGACGAAGTTTACGATTTCTTGCTTCCGCAACATAACAACGAAATATATATATTTTATTTTTATATATATGTACGTATATTCATTTGTTCCTAGTGCGATTTATAATGCAATTAGATGCGATCTAGTTGAAAATTCGTCGAATTTGGATCTTACGCGATCTTTTTAGTGTCTTATTTGAACAGCCCTTCCTTCCTTAAGCTGCGACTCTGGCAGTCCGATTTATCGTTAATGATCTAAAGATAGAGGCAATACTATATACTATTCAGATAATTAAGTTACATGTAATAATGCGTTCAAATGACAAATTGCGTTTTTTACGATGTACCTTGCAATAACAATAAGTTTGATATTAAAACAATATGTTTTATCTTTATTTTTTTATCCTATTCCTTGTGCGGTATAAAAATCCTATATAATATCCATAAAACATCCTGATTTTACTATTTCATGCATGGTATATTATATATTTTTTAAATATTTTGTATTGTTTAATGTTTAATTATTTTGTAGACTTTTTATAAAATGCGAACTTGATTTTTCCTTGGAAAATTTCAAGGATTTTAAGCAGATTATAAAAATCTTGTTTTTTAAGTATAAGATTAATGAAAGACATGATATTGATGAACAAATTCAATGATTATTCCAGCAAGTTTGCCAATAACAGAATGATTAAAAAATGATCGAAAAATATTAAAAATTGTGACACATTCTATGAAATAAGGGAAGAAAAACATCTTGTATATCCTACGTACTTATTTCTTTATCCATATTTTCATATCTTATATGTCTATTATATTAATATTCGAAAGACATATAATAGGATTCCGTAATTTATTTATTTAATTTATTTATCTTCCTCTGCCTCTGCCACGATTGAAACCTCCTCTTCCTCGACCGGACACCTTACTTTTCGGCGGCGGGGATTTTGGTCTGAGCGCTTCTATTCTTTCGGTGCAACCAGTAGTAATCTGACCATTTGTGAAGTAACTCTGATAAAGATCCGCATTAAAATTTGTATTTGTTAATTCCGGACCGACAGTGAGCCAACCAGGCCTGATGGTGCTATCACGACCAAAAAGATGTAACCTGAATACGAACAAAATATTAAGGATATTTAAAAAAATAAATACTGAAAAAATTTTAAATTAACTTTCTGTAACTTCTGTAACTTTATAAATATTTTTTCTTTAAGAAAAACTAATTTAATTTTTTATTCATTTTTTGTTTTATATCAAATTTTATTTTTAAATAAACTATATTAATTTTAATATAGTTAATATTACATAATGCTATTAAAATAAAAAAATTCCATACTTGTCTACGTTTTACCAAATAATTCGGTTTTATATTAAAATTAAAAAAAAAACAATTTTGAATAATTATATTTGTACTTGTATATTTGTATACTTTTGTACCTTCTTCGGCCGAGGCAGAAGTGCTCGATGATGTGAAAAATCTCTACAGGTTTCTCGATAGAACCATAATCAGGCTCCTCGGATATTATGAGATCAATGTCAACGTTAGCATGAATGAAATCTCCATCCGTGGAACGTCGCACCGTTCCCTTAATACCCATTAGGCAGTGTTCTTTTGTTCTCTGCAGCACGGCCTTACTGTCCAGATTCTTGCTGTGACCTGGATTGTTGATGTTGGTGCGGATCCAACAGATATCTTCGCAACGGCGGAAACCCCACTTTCGTAAACAAAATCGTCCCATGTCCAATCCATCGCTGCTACCACACCATAAAAATACGAAACTCCGATTGGCAGCCACCTCACCAATATCCAACTCCATTATCTACATAGAGAATTAATTACATCGATAATAATTAACTTCGTTTGAAAATTTAAGACAAAAGAAATAAAAATTATAAATAATTCGAAAGTGAAAACTTTTTAATACTTTATCAAAAATATAAATATTACGAATGAAATATGGGTGTATTTATTCGTTATTATTTTTAAATAGTAACTATCAGGAATTTTACTTATCAAATATATCTAAATATAAATAAATATATATATATATTTTTTTTTTAATTTTTATTTATTAAGAAAATTTATTAAGAAATATTTATTAAGAAAATTTCAAAAATTTTACTTAAAAGTAAACATGTGATTTAACTACGCGAGACTAACTTGGTCCCAGTTCCAAAGCTGTACATTAGTCGCGCCGCATGTTCTCTGATACTCTTCCAAAGGTGGCTCTATAAGAATGACATCAAATTTACAATTGAGTTCTTTCAGGTTATATGACAGCAGGTCTGTTTTTAGATACATTGGTGGAGTCGCGGTCTCTGCAATTAGATCATCCTTTAACTTGATCAATTCGCGTAGTTTTGGGTACTCTTCGAATCTATCCGCTAGTCCCACGTCTCTAATAAAATTCTGTGGCCGTTGGCCAGTGTCGATAAAATGTTGACAATAGTCATTGTGTGGATTCGACGACTGCGTTCCCTTTAAATACATAAGATAGCTTAGACAGATAGTTCAATGGAAACATACAGAAGATCAATATAAAACGCCAATACCTTCAAGAATGTCGAGGAATCCTTATAAACAATCTCATCTGTCGGAGCAACATCGTCCTTCAAATCCTTGATCGCATTGTCAGATTTATCATTGGATAACCTGCCTCTTTTTTTCTGCGTGTCTTCCACATCCGTTCCTAGAATCTGTCGTAGTTCGTCTACGCTCGAAACTCCCAGCTGCAAACAAAACAAATACATGAGGCTGCTGATGTTTATTTAACTTTAATATATACATTTAAATATATATTAGTTGTTTCTTTCTTTCGAATAGGTTTCAGCATTTACCGTCTGAGCCAAGAGTTTCTTTCGTTTCTGAGAGCGTTCCCAACGAGCTTGCAGCATCGTTTGCATCCTCTTTCACGTCATGAACATGTTCAGCGAGTTCTTGCGTCGTCTTATTTCACACAATCACATCATCGGCGCCAGGAAGATGAAGCTGACGTCAGGGACACAACGTAATTCGTGTTATTCATATTCGCACTTGAAGCACTTGAAGACTTACCTCGATTGATCTCGATTATTATTCATACAGTGCAAACGATTATTAATCATACAATGCAGAATCAAGAAATTACATTCTCGATATTTCTTTATTTATTCCCTTCAAGAAATATCGTTTCCTTTTCTTCTCTAATGTTCTGTTTCAATTTTCATGTTGAAAATTTTTTAAAATCGTCGAAGCTATGATATGCTGAACCTAACCTCTTATTACATATGATGTTAGCGATTGACAACGGGATCACTCAACGATAGTTCTCTGACGATAGTAACGCCAACCGAGATTACGCCATTTGAGGCCGATGGCAGTCATGTCGATAATAATGTTCACTGCATTTGTCACGCTGTTTTTATGTCACGATGTCACTTGCTTCGCAAGTTTGTAAAATAAAATTATCTGTGTGTATTATTTACATAAACTGCGGTACAAAATAATATATAAAAATAATATATTAAAAAAACAAAAAGAAAAAGATTTTAAAAAATTTTCTTTTATTTAAGAAATGTACAGTCACGCGTAACGTCAAAGATTAAAAAAAAATATAATTAATTATATGATGCGCCATCTATAAAAAATCTTTCAGATCGATAGTATCGTCTGTTGATACAACTTATTAAAGATTAGAGGTATTTGATATTGATTACTACAAATAAATATTATAAATTTTAATTTTTTACACTTTAAAAACAAAATTTAATACAAACATATAATTCGTTTTCATTATTAAAAATATTAATAAAACAATGTTAAGATGCGTAAAAGATCGGATACATTATACATCCTGTATATATTTACAAATTTAAAGGATAAGAAGAATGATAACATAAATATACTTTGCGTTCTTCGAATCATGTAAAGTGATAGTCCCAATTATAAGTCGAGTTCTAATTTTAAATCAAAGTTACAAAAGATCTGTTCCCTTCAGCTGAATTTTTTACACAGTTCATTCTTTTTTTTTCCTTTTCTTTTCATGTTAGAAAGAAAAAGAAAAAAGATGAACTGTGCAAGAAATTTAGCTGAAAAAAACAGATCTAAACAGATGATAAATTACAAAGATATAGTAATAAAGTTAATAAAATTTATAATATTAATTTTTATTCTTTTACACTCTTTGTAGTGTTTAATATATAAATATTGTATATTTTTTCCTAGGTTTTTTATAATCATTATAGTTGACAATTACTTTCTTAAATATTGCTATTATTCAAGAAAAGAAAGCAAAACGTTGCTTTCCTTAATAATTCCTTGACATTAAATTACTATGAAATATTTGATTGACGATTGTTAAATACATTATTATATTATATAAATTAAAATAATGTGAATTTAAACATTAATATAAAATTATATAATATAAAATTATATATAATTTAATATTAAAAAGGTAAACATCGAAAATATGTAATTAGAAATGAAATTACATCAAAATGTAATTTTTCCCTGAAATTATAATATTTACTGTTTTTATATTAATATTATTAATATTTTTTAATATTAAACTGACAAATTTATCCAAATAAAACAAAAGATATTTTAACTTTAAGTGATCCATAATTGTAACCGTCATTTTACCTTGTCTCTTTTCTTTATTTCTTCTATATTGTTATATATGTTAGTATTTATTTCTTCTATATTGTTAGATATATTAGTATTATGTAAAAAAACTAATGAATATTATTATATTAGATAAAGTTCTAATAACACAACGAAAATTCTAATAATCTTGTTGAATAGTTTCACAATTATTTCTGTTATGTTAAATGTTGAAGCGTAAATATTCATATATAATTTTCTCAGTGTTCGTTAACATTATTTTTATTTTTCAATATATATTTTATTATATGTATATTATGACCGTATTTTAATATATATTATCATAAATAACGTGAACCATAGAATTTCAGCACTGGATTTTCAATATTTATGTTGCGTGCATATAATAATAATAGTGCATATAGTAATAATTATAGTATTATCATATGCATTATGTATGCAATGAATATATCGCATTGTATGTATATTATACCACGTGCCCCGATAAATGTTTGACAAATGAATGTCATTTTGACTCTTTGTTGCGAAAATGAGAAAAAGAGAGAGAAAAAGAGAGGGACCAAATAGAAAAAAGTATATGTATAGATAAGGAATGCGCAAATGCAGCGATAAGACTTGACGTTCAGTAGAACAGAAAACGCAGAATCAAACGAAAGAATCAATGTGACATGTAGTGAAAGAGAAAAATAAAGCAAGGAAATAAAGCGAGGAAATTCATGACGCACTATCAAAAAAAGAGAGGGAGAAAGTAAAAAATTAATAAAGATCATTTTTCGTACCTATATATGCAGATGTATGCAGGTGTAGATATGAAGAGAGACGAATGAGATTGAGCCCTGATACGAACGAATATTTGTTAGAGAGGAAGAAGAAAAATAAAGGATAGGATAAATAGAAGAGAAAAGAAAGCTCAAGGAAGGAAAGAGGGATACGTGCAATAAAAAAAAGTGTACGTCCTGGCGAAGAAACCACCAGGCGTCCAGGAACTTCTTCGTTATTAAGCTTAAGAAGGAACAATGGTTTAACGCGTGGCTTATTGTCGAGAAATTTCAAAATCTGGGATTATGTCGTGCGAAAAATAGGATGCGATTAAACGAAGAAAGTTTTGGGAAAAAAAGAAAAGACATTAGAAGAGATACGGATCGCGTAGAACGAATAAAGAGACCGGCGGCGGTACCAACATGATAACGATGAGGCTTACGTCACGCGTATTCAGGAGTCAAAGGAGGGAATGTGCCACCGCACAGTACAGTATGCGGTTAACTTTCCGTTCCCGCGTGCGTGCGTGCGTGCGTACGTGCGTGCATCAATACATCCGCTTTCAAATTGGCGCGCGATACACGCGGCTGTTTCACCATCTGCTGATCGGCGCGCATGAATCACATCGGAGAGAAAGAGAGAGGTATGTAACCGGCGCTGTGCGGGGAACCGCACATTTCGTCGAATTGACAATTTCATTAGCCTCGAGATTACATCGAGGCAAAATTAAATGAGATATTCAAGATTCTGTTTAATCTCCTGCTAGAAAGAAATTTAATTTCACTTCTCCGTTATTAGCTTACGAAGGAACAATGGCTTAACGCAACGGCTTATTGTCGAGAAATTTTAAAATCTGGGATTATATCGTGCGATCGTAGGATTGACGAGTAAAGCTCCGTCTTGAATTTCGGAATTAGGAAGGGAAGAAATGTCTCGGCATCCAGTGTTTTCATCAAAGAGGAACGAATTTTTCTTTTAAATTCAGTATCTGTATATATATATATATAAATATACACATTTCATCAACAATATAAATAAAATATAAAATTTACATAGTTTATTACATACATTGCTTCCGTCAACGAGAAATCTTTTCTCACGTTTTTTTCACGCCCATCCCTGGACCGTTGATAATCCCTGCAAAATTCTGCCTGCACACACCACTCTCTCCTTTGATTTTCTCCGCGATTTCACCCCTAGTCCGATCGTTGGAAGCGCGAAATCGTTTCGAAAATGAGTTCCACGCGCCGGACGTGTAACACACGCTGCTCTCCGACACGTGTCCAAGAAAACAATTTTTTGCCAGCGTTCTTCCGCTGGTGAAGGTCTCCCCATTACTTGTGTATATGTACACATACATATTACACGATACATCGACGCGATCCGGTAGCGAGCGCGACGCCGGTGGTGCCGGGGCGAGGAGCGTTCCTCAAGAGTGAGGATAGCACGACGACAAAAACCGGGTGAATCGGTGCCGGTACCACGCGCCGCGATTGGTCGTCGTCCCGTGGTCGCTACTTACCCCGAAAATCGGCTCGGATTCCGAGAAACGGTGCCGTGGCCCCTCACGCCCCGCCACCCCCTCCGGGGTGACTCCCCTTTTACTTGTTACCACCGCCATATTTTGTTTACACCGCGCCGCACACCGTCGCTCGCTCGCCCGATCGCTCGCTCACTCGCTCGCTCGTTCGTTCGCGTCGATTACAACGACAGGTTACAGCGCTGCCGCCGATCGAGTTGGACGGCAGCAGCGGCGAGGACGAGGACCAGACCCGGGACGAAGAGACAGAGACCCACCGGCGGGACCAGGATCAGGCCCCGCGACACCGCATCACCGCCTCGATAATTAAATCAAGACAGTGCCATCGTCATCGTGCAGGTCAGTTCGCGTCTTTGGGCGACAGTGATGTGAAGTGTGTCGATGTATTCCGGATATCAAAATTATATCCCTTCCGTATGTAGGTTCCGCATCCCTCAGGACGGATACCAGCGTCTTCAGCTGCCTTCAGCAACGCAAGCACCGCTGTCCGTCTATCTATTTTCGTTTCGGAATAATCCGCGGCCTGTACTTTTAGATTTAGTCTCGTTTCGAGATATCATCTCGGTTATTTCAAATCGATAGTTCCGCGTGGCGAAGTGATGTTATTCCGAAGAACCGCCAACACTTCTCACAGTTTACACGTTTGACCTAATAGTCGGATAGTTTATATATTCACGATACGGTGCCGTCGAATATATCCGCAAAATTGATACGGGAATAAAGCACTCAGAGTCGAAAATGAAATGCTCCCTGCATTGCTATCTCGGCATTGCAACATTTATATATTTGAGGATATTATTCTAGAAAAGAATTTCTCTCGATTTCCTGGAGTTTGAAATTCCGGAAAGAACCGAAAATTGAAATTTACGATCAAACGGTGTTTAACGACTCAATTTTTCGAATTCGAACATTCTATCGATGTTTTCTCGCTTTCTCAAAATTTCGGAGTTCAAGAAAAATAGAGCACGATTTTTTATAACAATTAAAAATTAAATATTTTATTATTGTCGTCGTTGTTGTTATTATTATTACGCCGCGCATACAATTACTGGTTTATATGGTAATAATAATGGAAACAATAATTTGTCTAATGGTCGTCGAACTCGAGTCGAGTTGAGACTTATCTGCCTCTCCGTTTAGAGTATAAAATTACGTCTACGTGACTCCTCGTGATTGGTATTGCCTACGTGATGTTTACCTTTTTTTTCGCACAGACTATGAACCATGCAGAAGCAAACAAGCCGGTTTCTTGCCCGGAATAATGAAGGAATTTCGGCGAATTTGCTGCACGCGGAAGAAAACGTTGAATTTTATAAACGAACATGAGCTTATAAATAATGCGAAATTCGGTTCGCCTTTTCCGAATAGAGCCTTCTACTCGGTAGGTAGGGGGAATTGTCGAGGAATCCGATAATTAGGGACATAAATTATGCGCTGAAGAGACGACTCACGTGATCCTGATTATCGGGAATTCACGTGATCCTGATTAAACCGTCGTAGCGTGCACGTGGTGTACGGTGAATGACATCCACCTGTTTGCTGATCCTGACACGTGATCGCATTTTTGCGCGGTTCGATATGAACGAGGGAGGGAGATCGCCTCAAAAGACGAGAACCACATGGAGCGCACTGACAAAAAATACGCATTTAAATAAACCGGGAAAACGGGGGGAATTCGAAATCTCCCCGTATTCTCCGAAAACCATCTTGCGTGATATTAACTCTGGATGAGAACGTCCCGCGTGATAGTTTCATTGGGATGGAATGTATACCTAGCGCGCCTTTCCCCCCCCCCCTCCATATTCCCCGACCGAGATGTTACCTAATAATATCGTCGCGCCTTCGTCGATCAGGTTTTCAATTCTTTGAGAAATACGGCGTATCGAATGAGTGATGTCTAATTTCTATTTTGAGCTATTCTATTTCCTGTTGGCAGTGTCGCGACGTGGGTGAGGTAGGCGGAGGCCGCGGCGGACGCGTCGCTCGTCGGACGGCAGGATGAGGCCCGACGAGATGGTGGTGAACAATGGCGAACCACGGCGGGCGGCGGAGACGATGTCGGAGACATCGGAGGGCACCGCGACCACCAGCGTGTCCGGCAAGTCCGGTTTCGAGAGCCGCGAGGAGCTGCATGACCTCGCGGCCCTACTGGGCATCAATGATCCCGAGGACCTGCATCAGGAACGCTTCCGCGTGGACCGTCGTAAACTGGAGCAGATGCTTCTCGGTGAGTGAGCGCGATCGTCAATGTGCACGAGGTTGACATGAGCTATATATCCTGAATTAACTTGCTATTTAATCGGAACGGATGCTTTTGTATAATGGCACGCATAAAGACGGCACAATTTTTAGAACTATTTTAGCAGTAGATTTGATGAGAGAGAGAGAGAGAGATATGGATTAATAACAACAGAATAAGAAAATAAAAGAGACATGGGGAAATTAAAAAAATTATTTTGTCAATTAAATTGAAATAATTGAAATTCTACCTATATTTTTATATTAGCTACTTTTTTGTGTATTATATACATATTATATCAATTTAATAATTGTTATTTAACAATAAAATATTTTTTACATGTAATATATTCCTATGTGATAATAAATTTCATAAAAATTTTCATATTAATAATTTCTAGTAATTTCACAGTAATAATTTCTTTTATTACTAATAACATTTGTATTGATTATATCGTAATTAGTATTAAAAACAAGATTTTTAAGTGCCAGTCTTTAAAGAAATAGATGTAAAATTATCTTTAAATAGATGTCTCTGTGAAAAAAAAATTTTATTTTTTTGTAATTTATAAGATGAAATGTTAATTCTCTCAAATGTTCAATCTCGAGATATTCAGATAAAATAAACCGATTATTCGTGATGTAGTATCTAACAATGATAGAAAGCAAATTGAATCAAATTTAGTTTCAAAGAATTTAGTTGATTTAAATGGCAATTATATCAAGGACCCATCCAATCTGTCGTGACGCGACAAATTCTCATGACTGTCGTACTTTCTCCCGACTGCCAATATCCGAATGCCAGATTTCGAGAGTAGGCGTTTATCGAAGAAAGTCAAGATATTAGTGGCCAGGAACGAACAATTGAATAGAACAATTTACTTTTTAATCAATTAAAGATTTTATCGAATTAAAAAGCTACAAAATTATGTCATGAATGTATGACATATGATGCAATATTACGTCTCGAATAAATTATAAATTTATAAATTCTACGCATAGAGTTGCTCCGATTTAATGTTAAATGCCACTAATTTTGTTCCGACTTTTAGTTTTCTGACATGAAAATTCGCTATCTTGCGCGATCATCGCCGCCGTATTCGGAGCTAAATCACGCGTTGAGAATACGGGCCACGGTCTCGACAATAACTTCGTCGTTATGTATTTCGCGTTTAACCCTCCCCTCCCCTTCCCTCTCCGCTCTCTTTATCCCGACACAGTAGGCACTCCGGTGTCCTTTATCGCTTTCGTTGCTTCTGGAGTGTCTATAACGCTCGAGGAGCGAAACGAGTCACCGCGGTGTCTACTTTCGCTTTCCCGTCGAACGTAGACTTGATTCCTTTTCGCTGTCTTTCCGCGACAGCGAAAGCATTTGCGGTTTGCGAAAAATTTCCCGACTAATCAAAAACGGCAAAATATTTTCGTTTATACTTATTTTATTTCCGTTTTATAAATCAGGAAAAAAGTATTTATTTAAAAAGATTTCCTCGTCTATTTTATAATTGTTTTTACATTATTAAATAATATTTTATTATGTTATATAAATATTGGCATAATTAATTTTTCACAAAACAAGTTTAAGAAAATTCATTATTATCATCTAACTAAATAATAAAGGTAAAGAGTAAGCAAAATTTGAACACTTGTTAAAGGTCTTTTGCATTATTTGATTTTTACTTCTAATGTACATTTATTTTTAATGATGATTAATTTTTGTTTTAATTTCAATCCTATCGATGCAATTAAATTGATCGAGAAAATATAACAGCAGTTTCTCGTATCGATCGTTTGTTTAGCCGTCGCTATTTGCATTTGCGAAATGGTATACCTGGAACTACGATTTAAATAGACAGCTTGTTTGTAAACGGTATTATATAGCAGCTGTCAAGCACCCAGTGTTTTTTCACGTCTTGTAATATCGCTCAGTCGATCGCAATGTAACAGCGTATAAACCTATTTTGCTTCTGGATCACGCGTATTTACGTCTATCTTCATAATTTTATACCGACAAATAGCAAATACGCGATTAGTAGCTGAATTTAACTTATCGCGGATGCGAGGCAAAAATTACGTCATACACATGAGGACATAATAAAATTAAGATAAATAACAGTAGATAAGGAAGAAAAAGATATAGCCATACTTCGAACGCTCTACATTTTTAATATTTTTATCTTTGCATTTGTGTGTGCAGGTGATGTCAAACCGGCGGATACCTTCTTCCATAACGTGAGTTTTTTTTTATTCTTCTGATCGATTAATTTGTAAGTTATAAATGTCGCAAAACGTTATTAATAAGAAGAAAAGTCAACTAAAATATTTCTAAAATTCATGAAAATTCAATTCATTAAAATTAATGATTTAAATCCACGAACCGTTTTCAATTTTTATATTTTATATTTACTTGTATAATTTCTTTTGTAATCTAAAAAACAATAGAAGAAAAGATTTCAAGAACGAGAAAAATTTCTCAAAAAAGATCTCAAAGAATGATAAAGATTAATTAATTAATTAATTTCGTCTAATGTATTATTTATTCAATAATATTGTTCACGAATTGAAATAGCAATGAACGATTGATGTCTTGTTGAAATTGTATTTGCTTGCTTATAATCCTCGGTAAGAAAGGTGAAGACTCATTGCGAAGATTTCGTTGATCGATTAGCGAAAACTTTCTATCCAACATCTGTTGACAAGCGACACGTAAGATAGATCGCGATATTTCATGATGCAACTCCTTTCTCTTAACCACAAAAGATATTTCTTACTGCAAGATCAAATAAAACTTTTTTATTATTCGCGCCAACCTTATTCTTATTCCGTTTTAAAATAATTTTTTTTTAAAACGTTTTAGTACAATTAAGTAAAATAAAATTAATTGTCATAAAATTAATTTTTATCAAAACACTCTTTGCAATATTGTCCTATGAAATTTAATAAAATGATATCTAGAATGATATGTAATTAAATATAAATAGTATTATATGCAGAATTTAAAGGTATAATCTCTCTTTAAAGAGAGGAAACATTGTTTCATCGTACTATTACACGTGATTCATATATAGAGCCATCAAAAAATTACATACTATATATAATAAAATTAATTACATGTTTTACATATATAAATATTATATATATATATATTTTACATATATAATATGTTTTACATATATAAATATTATATATATATAATATATATAATATTTATATATATATATATAAATAAAGTTTCTGTACTTTCACTCTGTAGGAAGTAAATGTACAAACGTACGATTATATGACAAACAAGCTTCTTCACTTAATTGCCATAATAACTATTTTTGACAGAAAGTTAGGTTTCATGCCGGCCACCAGATAACGAAATTAAATTTCTCCTTTTTTCACGCGATATTTGCGAGAGGAGCAATTTCTCCAGCAAAACGACAGAAACATGGGATATATGAAATATAAGGATTATGTATATTAGATTAATGTAAATCAATAAGTGCGAGTGACTACTTTGCAAATTGTAACATTTATAATTTATAAAATTCATGAAACATGAATTTGTTTTCGTAATATATCGAAAAGATCGATCAGCAGCAGTTCGACTCTGACTTGATTGACTTCAACTTCCAATGGACAATCGCGCTCAGAGGATTGCCGACGTAGGCAAGGCGTCTCCTGGTAGAGGCAGCCTCGCACTGACCTTGCGATTATGCGAAAGCGAAAGAGGCTATTTTTATGTATTTTCGCTTCTTGCGTCGCAACTTCTTCTCCCTCTTTCATGATAACTCGCGTTACGTCGGGCGAGCTGCAACTCGTTCGCGCAATACGATTTCTTCGCTGATAACGGCGACGATAATACGAGCTTCTCTCATTCGAGATTTCAACTCGATCGTTGCAATTTTTATGAAAGATATCTCATATCAGCAGTTTTATTTTATTTTTTATGACGCTTATTTAAATCACTTAAGCTTCTCTTACTTCTTTTCGCGATTCTCTTATTTAGTCTTCGTCGAAAGTAATTATGAGAAAAAAAATGGTGAAGAGACAAGAGAAAAGAATTTGTTTTATATAAATGCGATACAAATGATAAAAGCATATAAAATATAAAAAAATCGTTACCAAAAGACAAATTTTGTGGGTCAAAAATTAAGTTTTTATCCGAATAATGATCGATTAAGATATCTCAATCGAGACACCGTGATGGTAATCGAAATGGACAGCTGCTTTATGCACGTGTTTTTGTGAAAGAATCAGCAAGCGGTTTCTTGATCGCGTTGACGACAACGACGACATCGATGCGCGAAAAATCTAGATTATGGCGCGCGGAGAAATCCGAACGGACGCCATAAAGAAACTCACGTTCTCTCTTTCGTCTTCTTCCTCGTCACGATAACGTAACTCGAAATTACAATTGTAGAGCGAAATGAGCCCGCAGCAGGAAGCTTACGATCGGACGTAACACTGCATACTTTCTCCGTCTACTCTCCCCGTCTCTTTCACTCGCCCGGCAGCTCGACAGAGAAAACCGATCGACGAATTACGATCGTGGTGATGGCGTGCTTCTCCCAGCGATGAGAGGATAATTGAGGAAACGCGTAATCGGATAATGGCATGAATCGGGAAACATTGGGGCCCGGACACGTGCTCGTCTCTCGTTCAAATTCAGTTCAAGTCAAATTTTGAGAGAGGAGAAATACATTTCGGAGAAAAATAATATGATGTTGAAATGTTAATGAAATCGTGAGATGTATATGTATCACGACGATGTCAATAATCCAATTGCAATCGCTGCAAATGTAGATGAGATAACTACCACTGACGACTGCTATGTTAATTGGTATTAATTGTGCTTCAAACTTTACGATTCTCAAAAATAATCACTTGTTTTATTTTACAATTTATGTCTCACTTATCGCTTGACTTAATCCAACGATTCTGCGGAGTCTGCCCGGAATATTTTTACATTTACTTTTCAGGAAACATATTTAATGAATGAATAGGAAGTTACTTGGTAGAAAAGAGAAAACTTGGTCGGGGAAATCGGACAGATGAATGAGAGATGAGTGTACGTGTATGCGTGAATTAAGGAGATAAATTAAAACTTCGTGAGAGAACCACGATAAGCGAACTACATTGTGGTCTGAGGGGCCTCGCAAGAGCCCCGTTCACCAAGCATGTTCGAAGGCAATGTTCGCGCTTATCCTTATCGCCTATGCGCGATGTTGCGTAAACGAGGGAGGGGGGGGGGGGAGGGAGAGGACTGGAAATACACCAGCCGATTATTTATAAAGCGGCTTTAACGGTACCGCATTCTCCCCGCTGTCCCCCTCGCTTGTAAATAATTTTACGATACGCGATATATATGACATTATCGCCAACGTATGTGAATTTTGTCGAACTTGTGCTATATAACATGACACACTTCAAATGTTCTGATGAACATCTCTCTCTCTCTCTCTCTCTCTCTCTCTCCCTCTTTCTCTTCATTTCCTCCCGATGACGATATCGCTACATTAATTATAGCGCCACGGCGTAATCTTTGACCGCTGTTGGCTCTCCGATAACAAGTGAGATCACGCGTTACTAGACAGCGCTTTATTAATTAATATCCGCATGCATGCTGCCTCTTTAGTGAAGAGTATTGATTTTACAAATAGCTCGTAACTTTTAAATTAGCACAAATAGTATAGTTATTGAAATAGAATTTTGTCACAATCCATTTTCTAACAATTTTTTATTAAAGCTATCTTAAATATTATAAATAGGTATTTAAAAAGACACATAGGTATTTAATTGACACTTGCGCTGTAAGTTATCTTACTAAATTTAATTATATTAAGTTTAATTATAATTATCGATACTCTTTATCATAGAATTTCGTCACAATCCATTTTCTGACAATTTTTTAAAATTATCTTAAAGATAAGATATTTGGAAAAGGAGTAATTGATACTTCATGTGTGTTTTAAGTTATCTTGCCAAATTTAATTATAATAATCAGTTATCAATATTTTTTTTATATAATATCTTCTAATGAGTTTGTTATATATCTAATGGATTAAAATGTCAATTGTATTAATTATAATGATAATAAATTTATTTATTTATTACATATTATTATATATTGAAATAATAACCATTATATATTGATAATAAACATTAATATTATGTTTAATACAAAATCATCACATTGCATTTAAATACATTATATTAATTTCCTGTAATTTCTGTAGTTATCAATGAACTTTCGTTCAACTTCAAACCTGATTAATCATAAAATAAATTTTTCCATGCTGTTTCTAATGAATGTCTTAATTTTTGCGATCATGTTTCTTGTCATTATCTTTTAATCTATTCAAAGAAATACAATATCTTATGTAAATGTTACTCTGCTTCTACGAGAGGTTCATGCTTGGAAAATGTCTTAATTTTTTCTACAAGTTTATTATTTTTTCTTTGACATATTCATTTATACTTAAAGATCATAAATTACTTCTTCATTGATATCTAAATATTTTCTGAGAGTTGCAATTTTTTGCGGTATATTTGCCGAGCACTATATTAAAAGAAATCGATGTTTACTGTAG